CAAGGCATAAAGATTCATGTTTATATTTTTTTCAAAAAAAATATGACCGAAAATTATTTATTTTTCTGTCTAACATAGTCGAATCTACTAGTAGATTAGGTGTTCTGCGAATTTGTATAAATCTACGAGTGGTAGAAGGAAATATTCTACTAATTGTTCATGTTCTATATATCACAGATTGCACATTCCACCATTTTGCTTTAGTACTACCAACCGCAGAATACTATTTCTACCAATGACTATGTCTTCTATGATACCCAGAATACATATTCTACCCATTTTATCTGCCGTTTTCTCTATCTTCTACCAAATGGTAGAAAGGATAATTTATCAAAGTTAATTTTAATACCCTAAATCTAGGACCATTAAATTGTGAGTTATTTTCTTTCCAAAAACGTAATATTCGGTAAATATTTCTTAAATTTATTATTCTCCTTCCTGATTTTCTTCTTTTCGTGAAAATTTTTTTGGCATTTTTTTTTCAAACGTTTTTGAAGTGTTTTAAAAAAAAAACACATTTTGCATTTTTTCGAATCCTACAATTTTTTGATTATAGACAGAAAATATATATGAATATAATATTTTTTATTTTTTGTATGTTAAAAAAGGAAATCGCAAAAAATGAATATTTTGTTTTTTTTTAAATTCCAAAATATTTTTAAAAAATTCATTTGTACTAATATTGAAGGTTAAAATTGGGTTATGAAAATATTAAAGGTTATTGAGACAAAAAAAATATGTGTATAAAGATTCTTGAGACATTCTCAATTTCAAACTGAGTCAATTTAGCAAATTTCTCTTAAAAAATAATTCTTTTGTGGTAGATGTGAGAGGTCGAGACTCAAACTGACATTGTTGTAAATCAATCCACCGCTTCCAACAAAAGCAAGCTCTTTATGTGCGTCTTCTTGTTGTAAATCTATACACCAATTCCATAAATAAACCTCACAGCGGAAGAAATTTTGTCCCATATCGGAAATCAACAATGATGGATTGTAAAGTCACGATGAAGCGTAGTGACCTTCGTCGCAGGACTGGCGAATTGTCTTGCTCATCCTCTACCCTCGACGCCAATCTACTCGATATATCCTTTCGCTGCTTTGTCATGTAGAAGCTCTAAAACCATCTCCATCCATAGTATCTCATGAAATCTCTCAACAAATTAAATGAGTCTCTCAAAATTTTAGAAACTCACTCCAAAGTCTCTCAAATGAGATATTTTGACATTGGTTTCTCAATTTTTGAGAGACTCACTTC